AATGTGATAGCTCGTTGAGTGTGGACACAAAGAAGAATCCCATGTTTCTTGTCTCTGCTCTCTCTGGATGAGGTTGTCATGAACAGGCGAGTGGTGGAACCGGAATATGTGGTTGACCCTGACGAGTGCGCAAGCACGCAAGCACGCAAGCACGAGTGCATCGCGTCATCGATCACTGTGAAATTGTAAATTGCTGTACCAGAGTACATTTCTTTCTCTGGTTGCTATCTAAAAATAAGCTCTTAACCAGATATTTAAAAAGAAAGGTAGGCGACCTCTCTTGCTTGTTCGATTCTGAGACCGAGTCCGTTAACCGTTTTTTATTTGATTGTGTGCAGTAGCAAAGCAGCTCTGAGAGACTATTTTAGAAAATTTTCAATAGACCTTGTGGCGCTAAATTCTTAGCTGTTGGACAGATGTGTCTAAGCCATAAAAAGTTATGTTAATATGTAGCGGTGTAGCCCTTGGGGCTATGAAAACTAAGGAACTGTTTGTGTTTTCAGGAAGATCCTTGGAAGGATTTGAAGTCCTTAGCTTCTGAAAATCGCGGTCATGGTCCAGCGCACCGGAGCACCATATGAAGGAGCCGTTTGGCCGGGCTCCTGTCGGCTCCGTCTCCATAGTGTAGCGTCACTGAAGCGCACAGGAGCTAGAGCCGGGGGATCGGAACTGTCGATGCACGTTAGAACTTCCGATGTTGTCATTATGAAACGAAATGAGAGTACGCCTAATGAGTTCTAGCTCAAACCAAACTTGGATATACGAGTTTGGGGATATCCAATAGCAAGACATAAAACACCTGCACTCACAAACACGCACAACCAAGTAGAATGAGATAAACACAAATATTGTAATTCAAAATACAAATTAGACAAGGTTTGTTTTACTGAAGCTCGGGCCTCCACACTAGCCATACGTCTCCGTTTAGGAAGCCATGAGTGACCACTCCGTGGTGCACTCTAGCTGGGTCTCTTTCAACCACTGTCATCAATCCACTAAGCTTGATCTTTTCCCTTGCGGAGGCGAGATTGGGCCCTCACAAACTTGCCACGGCACACCACAAGCTTGGTTGCTCGTCGGTGCCTCCTAGCCATCTAGGAGCCAAGATCCAAAAGTAGCAAATGTCTCACGAACGATTTACGAAGCCCACAACTGCTCAAGGATTTGGCTTGCTCTCTATTTTGAAATTCACTCAACCCACCACTTGGATTTCTCAAGAATCGCTCAATCTCACAAAGAGAGGGTATATGCAGTGTTCACAAGGATCTTGATTCTATTATGGATGTTGGGGAGCTGCAGCAAGCCCTCCAAATGAGGGGGACGGGATATAAATACCCCACATGCGCGAACTAGCAGAACATCGAAACTTCTTATGGAAACCTCAGAACTTTTGACGTACGTCGGAACTTCCGACAAAAAATATTGGAACTTCCGCAAGTCCAAAAATAGGGCATGTCACTCTATGAAAAATGCTATAACTTTTAGCTCCAAACCCACTAGGGTGCCTAAATGCACTTTTTGTCCAATAGTGCAACATTTGAAGAAGCAATTCGTTCTCACAAATGGATGGATTTGGCTTCACTAGGTTTATCCTGGGAAATGTGAACGAGGCTTGATTCTGTTTTGGTGTTTTGGTGAGGGTACACTTTGCTTTCTGGACCGAGGGTGTGTTCCATCCCAAATTCCCAATGTTGTAAAATGTTTTGTCTTGATGAAGGCGGGGGCTTGGTCCTTTTACTCTAAAAAATGTAAATTGCATTCAATAATAGAGATTGTGTAATTAGTAAGTAGTTAATTATTACTTCTTCATTTGATTTGGTATATTTGAGACATTCCCGATGGTGGTGGAGCCCAACATGAGGGTGCTGCTTTTGTTGTCGATGTTGGCCTGAACCCGCACCTCTTCTGCATGGTGGTCGACCACAACTTCACTGTCATCACCATGGATGCGGGCTATACCTCTAACCTGAACGCGAACATGCTCGTGCTTGCCTCGGGCCAGACCGTGGATGCGCTCATGACCACCAGCACTGATCGGGAGCTAGTACATGGAGGTGTTGGTGCACACACCATCGAGCAGGGGCTCAGCCAGCTGCCTTGCGACCCATCACAGATGAGGTGCAATGGGACCACCACCGCCGTGGTGACGAATGACATCTGCTCATTCCCCCTCATGTACCCTAAGATATCTCTCCGAGGGGCACACGTGAACGACGTGACGGGCTCTTCACGACCTACTTCTCGGATGGCTCGCCGCCAAGTGACATGGCAATGGCGCTGGGGACCAAGTTGAAGAGGTTTAACTAAGCTACAATTTGGTTCTCCCTTTGGTTTGTTCTTTAAACTTATGTTTACTTTCATTGCTTTTAGGTCTTGTTAAGCGACAACTAGGATTCATGCTAGTGTGTGCTTAGCATGGGTTTCATTCTTGTTCTTAAGGACTTTAATCTTAGTGTGCAACTTTGCTAAGGACATGGTTAGCTTGTTGGCCCTAAGAACTTTCTTAATCAATTTGCTTTGTAGAAGAACTTAGGCGCTAAGAAGGTTGGGGGTTTAGTTTTTGCATAGGCTAAGGTTTGTTTCTTTAACTTTTAGAGCCCAATTCAAGTCCCCTCTTTGGCCATAATGTTCATACACCAATCAAGGCCTTAAGGTCGACGAGCGGCCCATGGGTGAAACCTTAGAACAAATAGGCGAAAGAAGGGGTGGCATCGACTGGCACGGTGGTGGCATTAGGCAATGCGACGTTCTGTCCTCATCTATGCTCTCTTCTCTTTGGGATTGGTGGACGTTTCTAGTCTGTGTGGCAGGGGCGGCAAAACCCTAGGACGTGTTGAGTCTTCCCCCTAGATGAAAAAAATGATTAAACACAATATGAAAGCATCAAACCTCGCTAACACTGATTTAGAATAAACCCGAAAAATCACTTATTTTGTGGCAATAGATAAAATCTTCTTTTGTTTGAAACATCATTTTACAAATCCTCACTAATGAAACTGTTACCTCTCTTATACTGACTTGCCCTAGGACGTACGGTTTATTTCGTATATTCCAGTCCAAACAATACTGGTTGTAAGGAGGTGGGGGTACGAGAAGAACATGTGGTGTTGGAGTTTTCCTTTGGACTAATTTTTATGTAATTTTGTTGACCAAGGGAATAGAATCTTCTTCATATATAAACGTCTATAAATAGCGGCACATTTGTGGCACCTATCAGGAACCAACATACAGCATAGGAAACTGGGAAACATGGGATTCTGTATTCCATCGCGTGCCCCGGTGGCTTCAGCGCTCCTGCTTTACCTTTTCTTGCCTTTACTACTGGGGGCACATGGAGGATCCCGTAGGGTAAGCATGCATGCCCGATGCATTGCTAACAGCTTTGTAAGAAGCTTCCAAAATCCAAACTCTAATCAACAATCTTTGTAGCTATATATTGTATACTTAGGCGATGTGAAACATGGACACCCCAACGATGTCATCGCTTCGCACCATGATCTACTCAGCAATGTTCTTGGAAGGTACGTACGTGTCCTCCTCTTAAAGTAGTGAAGCCATGTTACTTGCTGATTCTTCATTTAAGACGACTGATCCTGATGAATGATGTGCAAATTCATGGTTGATCGTGTCCCGTTATTTCCTCTTCCAGTATGGAGGATTCATTGGCTTCGATGGTTTACAACTACAAGCATGGCTTCTCAGGCTTCGCAGCGATGCTCACGGAAGACCATGCTGATCAGCTTGCAGGCCAGTCCTTTCAGTCTTTTTGCTCAAACTGGAATTCGCCGCCTCACTTGCTCTTAAGCCACGAAACCAACCAAAATCGCTTTTGGTTAAATCGGTTAACTTGGTTAAAGACAATACAAATTATTCCTCCACGAGTAATAATTCAATACTAAATTTGCATGGGAACCACCAGACAAGGAATGCATCCTACAACTTTCCCAAAAGCAAAAATTGAAAGCAACTAGGAATACTTGCAATAACCGGAAGAGTCTCATAGAAATATATATAAAATATGTTAAATAAGCAAATTGATAGAACATAATCGCAAACAGTTTCATGCTGGTAGATGATGATGGGGTTGCGCACGGCGTCCATGTGCATGTTCTCGACGGAGCCGGAGCCGGAGCTGCCCTTCCACGTCTTGATCCGGACGGCGTTGTCCGAGTGCCCGATCACCGCGTAGTTCACCGTTGGCCACGCACGCCCGCGTGCCCTGCTTGCCCAGGCTCCCGATGCTCATTCCGTGGCCGACCACCGGGGCCGCAGGGAGGTGACGTTCTCGGTGTGCATGTTGAGGGTAACGGCGCCGATGGTGACACACAGTCGTCGGAGTTGGAGACGGCGGTGTTGCTGATGAGGACGTCCTGGGCGTTCTCGACGTGGATGCCGTCGGTGTGGGGGCACAGCGTCGGGGAGCTAATGGACAGGCCGCTGACGAGCACGCCGCGGCAGGTGTCGAACTCGACTGGTCTGTTCTTCACCTTGAGGCCTTGCACTTGCACCGTCACGTTGTTGGCCATGAAAGACCTCAGCGCCTGATTATGGATATGACAGAGATCAACGTCAGCCCGTCGGATTTTTTTAACCGGTTTCAAGGATTTTTTTTCTCACCATTACTTACTCTTCACTTGATCACTTCATTCTAGAACTGTAGCTGAACATTTGTCAGTGCACCGTTAAAGTAACCATACTTTTTGTGGCTTCTAAATTAACTCTGCAGAGCTTCCTGAAGTCATCAGTGTCCATCTAAGCAGAAGCTGCAGAGCGACAACCACTCGTAGCTGGGATTTCCTTGGGATGAACTACCAAATGCCCAGTGGACTACTCCATAGAAGCAGATACGGAGAGGACATAATCATTGGGGTCGTCGACACCGGTTAGTGACCAATCACAATCATGATCCATGAATTGATTCCATACTGCAAACACATGTCTTTTGGCGACCTGTCTAGTGCAAGTCCAAGGTCCACCAAAACACCCGGCTGTCCCCTCAGGTATCTGGCCAGAGTCGAAAAGCTTCAGCGACCAAGGCTACGGGCCCGTGCCTTCACGATGGAAAGGCGTGTGCCAAGTCGGGGAGGCCTGGGACCGCAGCAACTGCAGCCGCAAGATCATCGGCGCGCGGTTCTACAGCGCCGGCGTGCCCGAAGAGATACTGAAGACTGACTACCTGTCGCCCCGGGGCATCGCCACCCACGGCACGCACACGGCCTCCACCGCGGCAGGCTCGGTCGTTGAGGCGGCCAGCTTCCACGGGCTCGCCGCGGGCGCTGCGCGTGGCGGCGCGCCCCGCGCCCGCATTGCCATGTACAAGTCCCTGTGGGGACAAGGCGGGGGTGGCACCGGTGCAGGCGTGCTCGCGGCCATCGACGACGCCATCCATGACGGGGTGGACGTGCTCTCGCTGTCGCTCGCTCATCCCGAGGAGAATTCGTTCGGCGCCCTGCATGCCGTCCAAATGGGGATCACCGTCGTGTACGCGGCCGGGAACGACGGGCCTAGTCCGCAGACGCTTGAGAACACGGCTCCGTGGGTCATCACAGTTGCCGCGAGCAAGACTGATCGCTCGTTCCCGACGGTTATCACGCTGGGAAACAAGCAACAGATAACGGTATGAATTGTTTGAATACATACAAATGCCGACTCTGAAGAATCACAAGGCCGCCATGATTTTGTTTACATAGAAGCAATGAAGCATATGTTACTGATCTTGAGTATAAATACAACTCTTGCCTATTTTTCAGGGACAATCTCTCTATTACCAAGGGAAGAACTCAAACTCATCCAGGAGCAGTTTCAGAAGTCTTGCCAATGGAGACCTGTATGCAAAGCCATTAATTTTACTTTTTTTTCTGCAAATGCTCCAAAAATTCTGAAATTGACAGCAACTTTTTAACTTAATTTGTGCCTTCTCTTAGATGCACGCAAGATGATTTGAACGGTACTGATATTGAAGGGAAAATCGTGCTTTGCGCAACGCAACATTCACCAACGACGAAGGGCCCATTCGCGTATTTGTCAGACGCGAGGCAAAACGTCGTGAATGGAGGGGGAACTGGACTTATTTTTGTTCAATACACGACTGACATTCTGGAAGAATCGGATGGCTTTCCATATGTTTTGGTGGACATTGACACTGGTAAAAAGATCAAAAAGTACATCGACTCCGCCAGGTACACAACTTCCTGGATCCTCATTAGCACGTACAACAATGCACATAACAAGCTAGATCAATTCTTTCTCTATCATGAGCTGAGCCTTTCTCCGGTAAAATTCTGGTCGTTTCAAGCAGCTCACCGGTGGCGAAGATTGAACCAGCCCGCACCAGTACAGGTGCCCTGCTAGCCCCAAAAGTGGCATCATTCTCCTCCAGAGGTCCATCACCCGACTACGCTGATATTATCAAGGTACATAGAGTCAAATGTTGCGTCTAACAGTCTGTAGGCGCAAACATGCCATCACCTGTTGTCTCACAGCAGCCTTTGCTTCCTCCACAGCCTGACATAGCTGCACCTGGAGCCAACATCCTAGCAGCAACAGGAAATTCTTACGGGATTATGTCAGGGACATCAATGGCTACCCCACATGTAGCTGGCATCATCGCGCTGTTGAAAGCTCTGCATCCAAACTGGTCTCCTGCTGCACTGAAATCTGCAATCATCACCACTGGTAATAAAACCAAACACCGCTTTAGAAGACGATTTGACTTCTGAAGCCATGATTAGTTTACTAGGCAATACGTTACATGTATTTACCTCTATTTCATTTTGAATGCTGAAGCATCTGTAACTGATGAAGATGGCATGCCAATACTGGCTGAAGGATTGCCTCGAAAGATTGCCGACCCATTTGACTATGGAGGTGGGCACATCAACCCTAACAGAGCCGCAGATCCTGGACTGATTTATGACATCAATCCAAAAGATTACAACTACTTCCTTGATTGCACCATCAAAACATCTGTTAGCTGCAATGCAACATCAACACATGGGTATCTCTTGAACCTGCCATCCATCTCAACTCCAGATCTGAGGTATCCAGTTACCATGTGGAGAACTGTCACAAATGTAGGCGAGGTCAATGCAGTGTACCATGTTGCAATTGAGAACCCGGCTGGAATCAAGATCGAAGTTGAGCCATCTGTTCTTGTGTTCAACGCTGCAAAAAAAGTTCACACATTTCAAGTCAAGCTATCACCTCTGCGGAGGTTACAAGGGGATTATACATTTGGAAGCCTTACTTGGTACAATAACCAAAAGAAGGTCAGGATTCCAATAGCAGCCCGGATCACGATGTATGATTTATTTGCAGATGTTGCATAACTACGGTGGACCATTTATCCTGCATGGCAGCGTTCATTATCAGAGTTTTTTAGCACTATCAAAAAAATTTAAGAAAATTAGACATGACAATTGTCAAGTTTCATCGTGGTTTGTATTTATTTTGCTTGTAGCCAAATAGGCTATGCGTTGTCTAGATCTGTTTGTTATGTTATATACAACTCTGATAACTATGTCAACTTCCTTTTGTTGTTGTACTTTTCAGTTGCTACTTCATTAAATCTCTATCTCTATATACTAAAGTAAATAGTACTTCTTTTTTGCACAAAAATTGATGGTAAAGAAGTACCATTGGTCACAATTGTGCAATAGGCAAGGTGCACCCATCGCAAGCGAGTGGTAGAACAGCTCATTAATCCGATCGCACGTGGCACAACCTCCTCGCCACCAAATTAATTGGGTGTGGAATTGAGAAGGTAAAACTAGAGATCCATCAGCCCACATCGTTGCTACCGAAAAAAGATATGCATTTGCACCCACTTCCTTCCCCTCTCGTCTCTTCTCCATTTTTTTTTCTCGAACAGCGCAGGAGAACTGCGCGTCATTTCATTAAGGTAGAGAAAGAATTACAAAGGTCCAAGTGACCCAACACACACACCCCACTCCCCAGAACTAGGTTACTGACTCGCCACACAAAAAGGAAAAAAGAACGACCAAACTTCTCCAAGCATTAAGCTCCAGAAGGCAACAACCTGAAAACCAGCTCCTGGAGTTTGGAGGCCCCGGCCGAGCACCAGAGCCCACCCTCCGAGCTAATAGCCCTAAGGATCTCCCAAGGCACCAAAATTATCAAGGAGTTGAGGCCTTTACGCAAATCCTTAGGGGCAGCCGCAGTTGTTCTCTTCCACCACCCTGAGAAACGAATCACAGTAGGCTGTGGTGCCAACTGTAGCATTCCCAACTGATGCAAAACCAGGGCCCAAACTTGCCGGGCAAAAACACAGCCCACTAGCAAATGGTTTATTGTTTCATCCCCTTGATCACATAATGGGCAAGCCTCAGGATGGGGCAGATTCCTCCTTACAAGTCTATCGTTTGTCCGGACCGGTTGTGAAATACCAACCAGATGAAGAACTTTGGCAGCGGAGGAGCCCAAGTTTTCCAGATCCTTCTCCAAGACCCAAACTTGATGGTTCCCTCAAAGAAGGCTGCATAAGCTGATTTATTGGTGTAGGAACCATCCTGAGTTAATTTCCATCTATATTGATCTGGAATCTCCGGATGCAAAATAAATCCATCCACAATGTCCCAAATACGATGGTACTCAAGGATGACCACAAATATGACGTGCTCCTTTAATATCCCCGAACCCAACTATTATGATGCAAGGCTTGTGCCACCGTCCTCTCTCTTGGCTGTTCGATTTGGGACTGCCTTGAATAGGTTAGGAGCTATTTCAGCCATGGTATGCCCCCCAGACCATCTATCTTTCCGAACAATATCTCCTCTCCATTTCCTACTATGGCATCGATCGCAACATTGAAGAGGGCCTCGGCTTTATGAGGAACAGAGATAGGAAGGCCGCCCAAGGCCTTTCAAAGATCTGTCTTTTTTGCGCCCACAACCACCGAATCTTCAAAGTGCACATCCTAGAAGTTCAAGATTATGAATCCCAAGACCTCCATACTCAAGTGGTCTTTGCACCTTTTCCCAAGCTACTAGGCAATTGCCACCATTGGCTGGCTTGGTGACCCTTCCAAAGGAAGCCTCGCCGCTTTTTTGTCAATAGCCTTAATCACACATTTTGGAAGGTCCAGGCGGTTAAAAGGTATATTGGGACAACAACAAGACAACCTTCACCATGACTAGCAGCGCGCACTCTGTTCATAAGAGAAGCCTTCCATCCAGGAGATAATCTACCACTTTATCCACTAAAGGTATGACACCTCTTTAGTTGGTTTTCCAATTGAGAGCGGGAGGCCAAGATACATGTAGGGAAAAACTTTATAGAACATGAGAGGATGTCCGCCGTGAGAGCCAATTCCTCATCAAGACAAAGTGAATAGGGGAAACCGAGCTCTTAGCTAGATTAGTTCTAAGCCCGAAGCATGTCCAAACAGATCTAGGAGGTGCTTGATGGTGATCAGATCCAAATTATATGGTCTCGGAAAATTACCGCGATCGTCAAGATAAAGGAGACCCGATGCCTTGCTTCTTTGAATGGCCGAGAGGCTGCAACAAACCCATCAAGTAGCGTGATTGACCAAAGAATTTAGGACATCCATAACTAGAATAAACAACATTGGTGACAATGGGTCACCCCGTCTCGAGCCCACGGTGATGGAAAATAGAGTCCCTGTGCTCTCCATTAACCAAGACTTGTGTCGAAGAAGTGGACAGGATCGGACAAATGAGGTCCCACCATCGCTGACCAAACCCCACCTTGCACATGACCTCCAAGAGAAACGACCAAGACATAGAATCAAAAGCCTTGGAGATGTCCAGTTTAAGGAGGATATCGCCTCTTTCTTCTTATGCGTGGTTTTAACCATCTGTTGGACCAGCATGAAATTGTCATGGATTTTCCTTCCTCTCACAAAAGCGCTCGATTTGTAGAGATCAAGGAAGGCAACATAGGGCTAGCCGATTAGCCAAGATCTTCGTCACCAACTTGGCAAAGCTATGAATCAGGCTTATAGGTGAAAATCCTTCACTTCACTTCGCATCCACTTTCTTTGGTAGCGAGGGTTATAAAGGCTGTGTTCAAGAGCCAAAATTTGAAGACATGGCCTTCTTTGGATGGCCTCCAACGCCCTCATCACATCACCTTTAATAATGCTCCAAAGCAGGATTTATAAAACCTTCCTGTGAATCCATCCGTACAGGGGGCCTTATCCAAGGGCATATCCTTTATGGTAGCCCACACTTCCTCCTCGAGAGAAAGAAGCATCCATTTCAGATAAATTATGATGTTGAATGTTCAAAATATCTAGATCAAGAGTGTAATCTCTTTCTTCAAATTGTTCCAAGAATGCTCTCATAGAAATCATCCTTTCGCTTCTGTTTCTCATCTTGTGTGACAACCACTGATTACCAACTTGCAATTTTGAGATGAAGTTCTTCTTCTTCCTGTATCTAGCTTGTTGGTGGAAGAAAGCGAGACATGGCGTCTCCTTCCCGGAGATAAAGAAATCTAGAACGTAATCGTGCAATGGTTCGCTCAAGGGAAGCCAGAACCGAGACAATGAAGTTTGAGTTTCTTTTTCGAGCCATTCCTCACGATCGAGAGTGCCCTTGAATCTCTTTCAATTTCCAAACGGTGAAGTATTTCCTTGGCCAATTCTAATTGGGCTTTAATATTCCCTACTTTCCGTTGTCCCCATTTTTGTAGCCCTCATCGAGAGCCGCTGCAATTTAAGGAAGATGCACTCCACAAGACAAGTAGACTGTGACCGCAGCCTCCCAATTCATTTAATGACATCAAGAAAGCCGTGCAATTTGGTCCGAAGCTTTCAAAATGGAATCTTCGCTTGCCGGATGTACACACCTTCAAACCAAGGATAAGTGGCGTTGGTGCGAAACCCCGGCTCTTTGTGCTTTTGAGTACAAAGATCGGAAAAATATTTTCCCAATCACCACAACAAAAAGCCCGATCCAGCCTCACCAAAGTAGGCGATCTCCTCTCATTGGACCAAGTATATTTACGACCCAAGAGCGGAATCTCCTTGAGATCATTGTCATCTAGAAAACGCCTGAATCTTCCCATCATAGCTCTATCTAAATTTGCATTATTCTTGTCAGCAGCCTGATAAATCAAATTGAAATCTTCGCCTAAGATCCAAGGACCATTGCAAAGAACTCTGATATTCCTTAATTCTTGCAAGAACAACACTTTCTCATCATCCCCTTGTGGCCCATAGACGCCAGTGAACCACCAATTGCGACCCTCTTGCTCCGCAAACAGAACAGAAGCTGAATAAGTGTCAATTCTTGATGCAATTGCCTGGCAAGAACACCCCTTCCAAGCAATCAGAACCCCTCCTCTAGTCCCATTGGCTCGGAGCGCGATGAAATTATCATACGCAGAGCCACAGACCGAAAGGAGAAGATGTTGGGACATGTTAGCGACCTTGGTTTCTTGTAAACAGATGATGTCAGCATTACTGGATATAACAACATCTCTGACAGAATTCCGACGATCCCTGTTTTTAAGACCTCGGACATTCCAAACTAGAATGGTAGAAGGATTCATTTGAGCAAAGAAATAAGACGACCATAACAAAGAGTCTAACCTTACAACATTGTAAGGACATCTGCAGCCCGCACCTGCTCACCCGTTCCCACTTCCCAGCCAAAAATAGCAGCTAAAGCACGTGGCTAAAGCACAAACGTGGGAATCAGAGAGTAATGGCCCGAAGAGCTTACTATAAATGTCTTGAGCTTCTGGCTGAATGATCTCCCTTTCTTCAAAGCCAAGCTGCCGTATCACCCTCATTTGAGTCACTGAAAGCACCGGTCCCGGCGAGCATGGAGCGGCACCAGCGACCCGCCTACTGCGCCACGGTAGAGACCTCGAAGGAGCGGCATCATTCTCCTCCAGAGGTCCATCACCCGACTACGCTGATATTATCAAGGTACATAGAGTCAAATGTTGCATCTAACAGTCTGTAGGCGCAAACATGCCATCACCTGTTGTCTCACAGTAGCCTTTGCTTCCTCCACAGCCTGACATAGATGCACCTGGAGCCAACATCCTAGCAGCAACAGGAAATTCTTACGGGATTATGTCAGGGACATCAATGGCTACCCCACATGTAGCTGGCATCATCGCGCTGTTGAAAGCTCTGCATCCAAACTGGTCTCCTGCTGCACTGAAATCTGCAATCATCACCACTGGTAATAAAACCAAACACCGCTTTAGAAGACGATTTGACTTCTGAAGCCATGATTAGTTTACTTGGCAATACGTTACATGTATTTACCTCTATTTCATTTTGAATGCTGAAGCATCTGTAACTGATGAAGATGGCATGCCAATACTGGCTGAAGGATTGCCTCGAAAGATTGCCGACCCATTTGACTATGGAGGTGGGCACATCAACCCTAACAGAGCCACAGATCCTGGACTGATTTATGACATCAATCCAAAAGATTACAACTACTTCTTTGATTGCACCATCAAAACATCTGTTAGCTGCAATGCAACATCAACACCTGGGTATCTCTTGAACCTGCCATCCATCTCAACTCCAGATCTGAGGTATCCAGTTACCATGTGGAGAACTGTCACAAATGTAGGCGAGGTCAATGCAGTGTACCATGTTGCAATTGAGAACCCGGCTGGAATCAAGATCGAAGTTGAGCCATCTGTTCTTGTGTTCAACGCTGCAAAAAAAGTTCACACATTTCAAGTCAAGCTATCACCTCTGCGGAGGTTACAAGGGGATTATACATTTGGAAGCCTTACTTGGTACAATAACCAAAAGAAGGTTAGGATTCCAATAGCAGCCCGGATCACGATGTATGATTTATTTGCAGATGTTGCATAACTACGGTGGACCATTTATCCTGCATGGCAGCGCTCATTATCAGAGTTTTTTAGCACTATCCAAAAAAATTACGAAAATAAGACATGACAATTGTCAAGTTTCATCGTGGCTTGTATTTATTTTGCTTGTAGCCAAATAGGCTATGAGTTGTCTAGATCTGTTTGTTATGTTATATACAACTCTGATAACTATGTCAACTTCCTTTTGTTGCTGTACTTTTCAATTGCTAAACTAGAAGGATACCTTGTACATTGCTGTGGGATTATCATAGAAATAAAACCGTTGCATGTATAAACTAAATCCACATGATCTCACGTTCATTCTTATTAAAACTAGATAAGGCATGGTCTTTGCAGATGCAATGTTTTTTCTTATTGCTTTCATTTATTTCTTCTTATTATTCTTGTTTTCTTTTTATTTCATTTACCTTTTCTATTTACATTGTTTTTTATATTTGTTTTTTTTCTTTTCTCATTTTCCCTTTCTTCTTGGTCATACTTTCCTTTTTCGTTATTGTATTTTCTCTCTTCATTACTTTTATATCAAGTGACCTGTTATCTTGCTCTAACTTTTCTATTGTTTCCTAGCATGTGATTTTTTTACATCATTAATTTTATTGGGACTTCCATGTATATCATTATTTTTATTGTGAGATGTTTTCTTGTGAAGAAAGAATATATTTTTTATTTTAACATTGTTCATTTTTTATGAAGAAATACCATTCCTTAAATTGGTCGCGTATTATCCACGAGGTGATCTATGTGTACTTTTATTTTTTTTTCTCAAGGTGTCCATAAGATCCCGTAGTGTATTTTATATCATTCATATTGTAACATAGATTGTTCCACGATGTATTTTGGATCCTTCTCTTAGTATTGATGGAATGCTTTATGGTGTATTTTGTGATATTTTTATAGTATCAATAATACGTTTTTGACATATTTTGGATTGTTCATTTAGTATTCATGGATTTCTCTATCGTACATTTTAGGTTACCTATGATAAGTTTAACGATGTACTTTCGATTATTTTATTTTCCTTTACTCTTGTGTCTTCACGGCATTAATAAATCTATCAACCTCTGACAGGTAAGATGGATCAAGTCTTGATAAATTGTACATACATGCTCAGATGCTCTCTACATCGTAAACTATAAAATTCCATAAGGATCTACATAATAATTTAATGCAGCTGTAAATAGATTTAAATATATACATAGACATTTATTTAAAGAAAAATGTTCACACTGTCTTTGCTCAATAAAAGGTTACAATAATACATAGTTATGATTAAATTATTAAAATATTCACTCAATTTTCTCAAAAGAACATTCTATATGACCAGATATTCACTAACATAAATTAACATACAGGTATGACTAATTAATTAATATATTTTCAACAAACCAACAAATTCACTGTCTAGATCAAATCTAAATATTTTCTATGCATGGATGGGGTGCTAGGATCCATATATTATGAAATTAATGATTTATAGTGGAAGAAACATGTGAAGCTACCTAATACATCAATTTTAAGACACAAACTATAGCTAATACGGTATTAAAATACTCAAACAACATGCATTCTCTCTATCGGGGTTATGATACCCCGGGTATCTCAAGAAACGATTAGTTTGCCGCTCGGGCTGCCCATGTTGGCCCAGCTAGCAGAGGGCCGACAACCGCAGTTCACCGAAGCTACAAAGGCCCTGGGCCAAGCACTAAGGCGAGTGGTCGACCACGACCTCTCCCTTCTCCTTCCGCTACACGCCACACAGCACCACACGACCTCTCCCCCGTCTCGAGCCTTGGAAAGGAACAAGGAGAGGTAGAGCTCCACCAAGTAAGCCAGCACTGACAGGGGTAGGCATGCTCCACTCACTCCGCTAGGACTGATGGGACATCTATCCCCTCAGTCAGGACAGACGCCATCCCTATGCCACACTGTGCGGACAAGACAACACCGCCATGCAATGACGACCGGTACGACATCCCATTGTCCATACTCTGCCCGACAAGATAGGCGTATGGCCCCACCCACTACGGGATGAGGCACACGACCCCGACCTTGACTTTCAAGGCCGGCCAAGCTATCGGGGACCTCGACCTCGTAGTCCAGGGTCGAGGCCACCGGGACCACGACCAGCAAAGGCGGCCGACCACCAAGGACCGGGTACCTATTCCCGTACTGTCACCACGACGCCATCGGGAGATGATGATGAAGGCCACAACAGGCTCACGTCGCACATGACACATTGGCAAACCACCACCATGCCAACATTGCCGTCATGACCGGCACTGTAGCATCACACCACGCCATGCCGCGACGTGGGAGCTAGACCACGACGACAACCATACCAGAACGTGCGCTTACGCCAAGACAAGACGGCCTTCCTTACAAGCAAGCTTACTAGTTTCTCCCTCCCTCAGACTCACGACCAGATATTCACTAACAAAAGCATGACCATGACTCGGACACACACGGCCCGGGTCGCTTTAGGCCTAAACAATGACCCTCGGTTAAAGAGGACGTCCCATGACCATGCAGCCACTCGGGAACGCGGCCGCAACCTGGCGACAGTCGGGAAATCGCAACCTAGCAAGCTAAGGCGTGATTAGGGAAAGGCGTGCGAGCAGTTCAAGGGTCGAACTCTCCATCTTGCGGGGCAAAAAGTCGATGATCCACTCAAAAGTCGCGACCTTGGACTAACCTGCTCGACCCTGACCCAACGGCTCGGGGGCTCGTCGCGACCTTAGAAAAAATCACAACATCCCAATAAAGAGTTTCTCTTTATTCATAATCGACAAGTGCGGCCAACCCGCATATAGGACATAAACAGCCTGATACCACTGACATGGCGATATCGTTGAAAGCTCTAGAGGACGTGATGCTAGAAGAAGGTTTGCGGGATGTTCTCTTCCACCGTTGCAGCAAGCATGACGGAAAAGGACGCCTCGCAAACCTTCTAATAGCATCGCGACTCCCGAAGCACAAGACACATGGGGAGAGATGGGAAGAGTGATAGCTCAGGAAGCCCCTCAACGTTTGCCGGTGGGGTTTCAGGCACACCATCGGGGCATGCACATTGGGTCATAGAGGCATGAAAGAACTATCATATGATGGGGTTGCCTGACCTCCAGAGCGTGACTGCACGTCCATCATACCCACCACAATGAGGATGGCACGGTGAAACCTTCCACAGCTAGCAACCACCTCGCACACCTGAGCCAGTAGGTCTCAGGGAACAAGGAGGTCCCGTGGATACGGACCCGACGGCCGAACCATCTCATCCCCTCCTACTCGCAAGCCACCTTCTAGCACCAATTGCTGGATGAAGCATCGCCGACCTCTAGCCAACACAACTGACCCCTGGTAGTTCGCATCCTCAAAACATTCACTATCTATTGAGAAGCACTCCCTCTCTCGAGCTCAGCTTCTCAAGAAATCTAGAAGTAGCCAAAGGCATGGATAAGAATGGTTCAAATGGGAAGGAGGTCCCTATTTATAGGCCCAAGGAAGGATTGTGCGGCCCTGTGATCCCCAAGCCATGTGGTGAACAACGGGAGGTCATAGCCAATGTCAAAAGCTCACGTGAGGTCAGGGAAATAGAGATCCTCCAAAAGATGGAGCCGGTACAACATCGACAAGACTGCACGACTTTGTATGGATCTCGTACCCTTACACGCAACACCCTGACATAGCCAGGCTCAGCAGAGCAGTCATGTACCTGACCGTCAAGGCAACTTGATGGGATGGGACGTAACGAGCACCTACTGCATTGAACATTCGAAACAGCAACAGGTCAAACTCTGAGCTCAAGACTATCACGACCTTAGATACATACGCACCACACACACAGACATCAGCATCTCCACGATTACTCTGAGATCACGAAGATGCTCGAGGGCTACTGTCGGGTTATGATACCCCTGGTATCTTAAGACATCGATTAATTAGCCACTCGGGTGGCCCACACAGGACCAACTAGCAAAGACCTAGCAGTGCGGTTCACCGAAGCTACAAAGGTCCCAGGCCAAGCACTAAGGCGAGTGGTCGACCATAACCTCTCCCTTCTCCTTCCGCTGCACGCCACGCAGCACCACACGACCTCTCCCCCGTATCGACCCCTGGGAGGGAACAAAGAGAGCTCGAGCTCCACCAAGTACGCCAGCCCTGATAGGAGCAGGCAAGCTTTGAGCTCAAGACAACTATGACCTTAGATACATGCATGGACATTAGCATCTCCACGATCACTCTGAGACCGTGAAGATGCTCGAGGGCTACTATTGGGATTATGATACCCTAGGTATCTTAAGACATAGATTAGTTAGCCACTTGGGTGGCCCACACTAGCCCAACTAGCAAAGACCCACACTACTACACAAAAACTTAATCGAGGCGTTTAGAAAAAGGCCTCCGAGGCGGTTAAGCCAGTTGCCCACCTCGGTTACTCATGGCAGGGCAGCCGGCCCAGCAACCGCCTCGGTTAATGCTTAACTGAGGATGGCAACTTAACAGAACCACCTCGGTTAATGCCTATTAACCGAGGTGGTTGACCTAACAAAATTGCCACCTAAAATCTATTAATCAAGGCGGGCCTCATCCAAAAGTGCCTCCATTTTCGGAGGCAGGCCTCCTAAATGGCCCGCCTTGGAAAAAGGCCTAAAGCCCAGCCAAGCCATTAGCTTAGATATGTATATTAGGAGCACTTAGCTTTTCCAGTCGCACTTCTCTTTCCACCTCCCCGCAGTCGCTGTTGGTAGTCACTAACGATCGAATCCGATCACCAAATATTGTCCAAAACAGGAGAATTAAACAAACTTTCGACACATATGCATATACTATTGACCTAGTTCCACTTGTATTGGAGAAAACATGTTTTGCAACTCATATTCGAATACAAGTGAAAACCAAGCAAAAAGGCGCAAAGCAGAAAGCGTAAAGCAGAGCATACACCAAGGAATCAAGCAAAGGCCTATCCAACCGCCAAATTTGGGC